TGTCAACGCCGTTAGAGCTCGAGTCGAATTACCATTAGACGTTAACTCACATGTGGCCATCGAGGCAGGCCAATGTTCTGAACCTGAAAATAGCATCCATGGTGGTACTCGATCTGCAGCTCGAGATACCCATAACGTCAAAGAAAACGGAGTCAGCTTACGTATGATTTTCAAAATGTTGCAAGTTCAGCAGGTAGCAATAGCTCAGTTGCAGAGTCAAACCTAGATACCGTGCAGGCCGGAGTCCAATCCGCCCCAGGAAGTCACTCACAAAATAGAACCAACTGTAGTGAGGCCAAATAAGCAAGAATCGGGGACTAATCCCGAAATTGTTAAGTTGTTCGAGGAACTAACAAAACGAATAGAATCAGGAGAAAAGAGGATCGAAGAAAACAACAAAAAAGTGGAAACATACAACTCTAGGGTTGATCAGATCCTGGGGGCACCCCCGATATTGAAAGGCTTAGATTCCAAAAAAATCGTACAGAAGCCTTTCCCCCCGAGCGCGGCCCCTAAACCAATCCCAAAGAAGTTTTGCACGCCCGGAATTCCTAAGTATAATGGGACGACCGATCCCAACGAACATGTCACATCTTGCACATGTGCCATTAAAGGAAACGATCTAGAAGATGATGAAATCGAATCTATATTATTGAAACTATTCGGTGAAACCCTGTCGAAGGGGGCAATGATATGGTATCATAATTTACCATCTAACTCTATTGATTCTTTTGCTATGCTTGCAGATTATTTCGTAAAAGCACATACCGGGGCCATAAAAGTCGAGACCCGGAAGTCGGACCTATTCAAGGTAAGACAAAGGTTTAACGAGATGCTAAGAAAATATGTATCTCATTTCCAAATGGAATGAATGGATCTACCACGAGTCACAGACGATTGGGCTTTTCAAGATTTCACTCAAGGTCTGAATGAACGAAGCTCGATGGCTTCACGGCAGCTGAAGCATAACCTAATCAAATACCCAGCTATTACTTGGGCCGATGTGCACAATCAGTATCAATCTAAAATAAGGGTCGAAGACGACCAGTTAGATTCCGGGTTCGATTTTAAAAGGGATACTGATCGAGAACCTAGGTCAAGCAAGGATCGATACTGCCCGTACAATGGAGATCGACGGGGTAGCGAACTTTCACGAGGCAAAAAGAGAAATGATTGAAGCCAAGGGTCTCGGAGACTGATGAACAGAAATGGGTTCGATAGGCATACCAAACCTAAGGAAGCACCACAGTTATCGTAGTATAACTTCAGCATCGATGCACCCACCATTGTGTCGGTTATCGAACACATCAAAGACACTAAATGGCCTCGACCCATGCAGACCGATCCAGTCCGGAGGAAACTGAAGGAAACGTGTGAATATCATGGCACCCATAGACACAGAACGGAAGATTGCAGGCAACTAAGAGATGAGATAGCCTGGTTATTCAATAAATGGCACCTTCGAGAATTTTTAAGCGACAGAGCCAAGAACCATTTCAAAAACAGGGATTTCGGTAAACAAAACGAACAGGAAGAACCACATCACGTCATCCATATGATCATCGGTGGCGTCGATACCCCTCAGGGGGCGGTACTTACCCTAGATCTAAAATTCAAGGAGTTTGAGGGGTTTTTGAAGGAATTGGTTTAGAGATATGGGAAGATGAGGTTGTGGAGATTACATGGTGTTAATTTGGAAGTGTTTGGAGGTGGTCCGCCGCCGGTGGGTGATTTTTGGGAGGAGGCGGCAAAGAGAAGAGAGAGAAGAGAGAAAGAGTTATGGGGGAAATGAGGAAAATTTTCAGATTTTTGAGGCTTTAAATATCTCTTGAGAGATCAAATATGGACCATTAGATCAAGAGGTGAGATTTGATCTTGGGTCACTCAATGAAACGACGTAGTTTTAGACCCTTTCAAGGGCAGCCCCTTATCTTGCACTTTTGGCCACTTTCTCTTTTAAATTTGGCCCAATTTCTTTCTTAATCCTACTTATTAAACTAAATTTACACAAACAAATAAATTAATTAAGTAACTTATTCAAATGATCAATTAACTAGATTAATTCACCAATTGAATAGTTAGTTAATTCCTAAAATGCACAAATAAAGAAAGAACTAATTTTTGGTATTTTTATGATAGGAAATATGCAATCAAAGACACAAAAATTGGGAAAAATAATTAAAGTAACAAAACACTAATGACTTTAGGAGGTGTTAAAACAATACAAAATTTAGGTATTCACAGGCGTAGCGGAAAGGATTCCGACTATTGAGAAAACCATAATTCAAGGCCTCCTTAATCTTGTCTCCAACTCTTAGTCTCCTTAGTTAATAATTTTATGCTAGTTAATTAGTTCAAAATATCGCAATCTTTATAACTTAGCAATTGTTCGACCTTGTATTCTTAGAGATATTGAATATTTATAACGAAATCTTAGTTCTTTGTGGGATTCGACTCCGAACTTTTAGACCGGATTATATTTGCAGCGACCGCTTATCCTTTATAGGACTAGATTGGGCGTGATCAGACACGCTATATTAACATTAGTATTCAAGAATGAATGGTTTTTTCAATAGAAAAGAATTACCCGCCCCACCAAATTCCATGTTTAACCAAAAGTTACTTGCAAGAAATTCCTGCCAACAAGTGAAAAATCACGTCTGAGGCATCTCTAGCATGAAAAAGATTCATTTTAATTTTCTTTTTCCACGAACAGAAATATTTAGATTGTCAAATGCTAAAAAAATCAAATTTGAATTCCGGACGAAATTGCAAATTTCAAATTAAACGTGTTCACAATATTAAGGCTTAATCAACTAATGACCCAGTAATTGGTTAAACAGAAGGATGTATGATGCTATTGGGTAATTATTACCTACCTAAATTGGTTCTATATAGTATTGTTTATAGACTGTTAAGGTCTTCCTATGGAGGCTCCACGAAACTAGACCAAATTGTCTTGTAAGGATGTCTATATTCAAGTCCACTGAACTCTATAAAAACCATAATTGGGCTTGATAAAAGTTTTGAGTCCAAAATATTTTATGGTCCTGTTTCCAGCTTTAGAGCTAGATACACTTGTGAAGAATGACATAAATAGAATATTTTTGTGCCATTATTGATTTTGTGACAGAAATTTTGGGAAAAAAGGTGTCATGCCACAATATAAAGTATGTTGGGTAGTATTTTCCTAAAGAGCCAGAATTTTAAAGCACGTTGCGCAGAATTTTAAAATACGCAACAATTATGGTATCCCTTATGATTTTGCCAAAAAATTCGGATGCATCACCAGAATTTTTCAGTGTTGTGACTAAAATTATGATGATAGTGAAGAATGTGTGGCAAAATTCTGAATGATGCGTGCTTTAAAAATTTGCCTAGCATACCTCAAAATTCTGGCGTTCAAAAATAATTCCTGCCCAGCGTGTTTTAAACATCTGGCATGGGGTTATTTTTCCAAATTATCAAAATATGAAAAGTGGTTTAAGAAAGGTCCATCCAGTATCATTTTCGGCACACTTATATTCTTTTGGTATGACAGATATGCTGTAGAAACAATTGATTATCGTCATTTCAACTTAAAATAGAAAATAATTACTTGCGTGATCGGATGCGAATTCCTTCTTCGCAACCCGATATAGGAGTAAAGGGAATGAATTCTCAAACATTCTCTAAATTTGGATTAACAAAGAATGGAGATTCAAGAAGACTAAAACAAAGAAAATTAGGACGAAAAAAAAAGTCATAAACGGGGTATTGCTACGAAGATTTGAGCTCAAAATTTCATTCCAAAAAGTCTCTTCACTTCATTGTTTACACTTTCTGAGCGTTAATTTTACCAAGTGAAATCTTACCAAGTTTTGATTATAGAGGCGGCCCAAGAAGATTGGTGGCCTAAAGCCAATTTTTAATTTGGGGCCTTTTAGAAGGAAATTTTTTTTTATCATAACATCGATAATTCATTCCGATGTTCCTACACATAGAACAACACAATTTAGCGCAATTGTCGCACAATAACTCACTTAAACCAACAAAATATAGGCCGAGTAATGTGCTAAAAGTATAAAAATTTGGCCTAACATCAGTTGTTAATAGTTTTTTTATAAATAATTTAGTCTTTCCTAAGATGTTGTTGATCTTAGATAATAGAACCAAATTCATATAGATACTTCACTAATGATGTCACTCGTAAAATTTAAATAATGAAAAGTTTTATATTCGCGACAAGGGTTTAGGGGGAGTGATTCTCTTTCTGTATTTTTTTGCTCAAACGGTTACATCACTACTAAATTAAAAGTTATCTTGAATTTTTATAAAATATTTTATTTTTTATTTTAACATACACAATATATTTAGACCCTGCCTCTAAAGATTGTTGTGAAATGTATTTGATCCAACTTACCTTAATTAAATATATTGGGTTCGAGTCCTGTGGTTAAAAAAATCCTGTTAAAACGTGTTCTCTCTTTTACTAGGTCTTACGCGGGAATTTAGATTAGTCGGGGTCACAATACAAATACGAGTAGAAAAATAAAAGAAAAATTTGGGGCCCTCAAAATTTGGGGGCCTAAAGCCTTTGTTTTAGTGGCTTGACCCTTGGGCCGGCCTGATTTTGAAGTAGTTTGAATAGAAAAATACAACAAATTCACAATTGACATATTTATATCACAATGAGTATTGCTCTCATGGTATCACTCCAGAGAAAATATTAGTGAACATCAAATTAGAAGGGCAAACAAGATGTACGCATGTAGATCAAGAATAAAGGATAATCCATTTAACAAAATGATAATCCAATATATTATTACGACGCAAAGCTTAGTTTCATATGAAGAAATTTGAGGTTAAGGACCACAGAAGGACAACTCCAAGAATTGCGTCTAGTGCAAACCATCTCTTTCCAATATGACAACCATCATTAGATTTAGGAGCACTTGCTGCACCAGCAGGGGCACCCGTGGGACTAGATCCAACTGCTCAAATTTCAAAAAAAAAAAAAAAAAAAAAAAAAAAAAAAATATTGTCAAGCTCCTTCAAATTTTTACACATCAATATATCTTTAGTTAATTGTAACGAGTTCAGCCGAACAAGATAACAAGTCTAAGGAAATGGTCAAGCTTGAAAGGATGGACGGGCGTAGGCATAATAGTGAACGCTGACCCAGGGCAGCCCAACATCATCTGAGGCCTAAAACAAAGATTTAATAAGAGGCCTTTATATATATATATATATATATATAGATATATAATGAACATCGTTTTTAAAAAAAATTAGACAAGTGAGAATGTGGAATTAAACAAAATGAGAACTTAGTTTTATAAAGTACAGAAAATTAAATAAATTTAACGTTGATTGCATCACAACTGAAATGGGAGAACCCAAAAAACATACTTCCTCCGTCCCAACTTAAGTGACTCCTTTTTTTAAGTAAGTCCCTTTATATATTTGGTAGCAATTTAACTTTAAATTTTTTCTTTTTACCATTAATGAGATAATTTCTAGCCCACAAATTTATATGATTTATTTAAGATTACAAATTTCAAAAGTCTTCCTTTATTTCATAAACTCCATGTCTAGTCAAACACTTTCGTATAAATTGGGACGGAGAGAGTATATTTATGTAAGAAAAATAAATAATAAGTTAGATTATTAGATATAGTTACGTGAGTAACTAATGAATAGAGAAATATAATTAAGTAAAAAAGTAAAATAACTCTGGTTATAGATATGATAACAATGACTTAAATAAAAGAAAGATATCGCAAGAAAGTCCTAGGCTTAGAGTATTAATAAGGCATTAATTTTCTAGGTTACTAATGTCATTTTTGAGTGGTTACTTGTAGTTATTAATTTAAATGACTTGATAATAATTTTGTTTTTTGCATTATCAATGCAAGAAGTTAAACTTAAAAAAAGAAAGGTGAAAGGATGTGTAATTTACCCGAAGGAATGGGACTATTTGCTTGTGGACTGCTAGCAATGCTACTTGAACCATTACTTATTTGATAGAACACTTGAGCATCTGGTGAATTTGGAGGCAAGTGGAGAAGAGCTGCATATCATTCCAAATTGTCAATTATCAAACAAATGAGTTAAGGATTAACTTTTTCAGTTTTCAGAAACAAATAATGAAAAAAATATTTTGAAAACTATTACTGTCCCTGTTAAGAAAGAATGGAGGAGTTCAAGGTACAAGGATAAAATTGGATATAGATTTCTTAATCCTTTTAAAAAAAATGCTCTTATTAGTGTACTTACCAGGGCATTGAGAAATGTTAGCAGGGGCTTGACAAACAGAGGGTAGGCTTAAAGCAAGTGTAACATTGAGATTAAGCCCTAAATCAGGATCATTTCTGTCCTTGATTAGCAAACAAAGACACTTCTTGCTAGCTTTCAACACTTGTTTCAAGCCAGTGCAGCAATCTGGTGTAGGAGCTGGTGCATTAGCTGTAACATAAGGTAAACATGTTGCTAAACCAATCAATGATTGTGTACACTCTTCTTTGTCCTTTTCTGTGTCTGAATTTCCAAATACACATAACATGAAAAACAACACCAATGTGAACTGATATTTCATGTTGCAAGAAGCCATTTTGAAATGTTGGTAAAGGGAACTGAGGTATCTTGAATCCTTTTTTGCCTTTTGGTATTTCAAATAATGAGCAGATAAGGAGAAATATAGATATTCCTTTGGCCCTTCATCTTAACTTATATATATTTGAGCCACTTGTAGAATGTAATATTGAACAAACTTCCCCTAGAAACAAACAATAAAAATGGCCAGGTGTTTGGATGAAGATTAAGGAAATAATACTCAAATCTTTTGTAGTGGTTGAGAACCACTAAGTAGAAGAACTGAAAATGTATCAAGAAACAAGAAGCTATTATTTTTTTTTCAATATTTGAGGAGGGGAATATAGGTAGAGATACACAAAGTGGGCCACTTTACCAACCCACTATAGGATGTGAACCAATGAAACTTGGACCACTCCTTCATGCTTAGCATTAGTTTGTCTTGGCTCAGTTTAGCCATGACATCATATGAGCATGCTTATGACGTCAACTTCAACTCATTTTGTGGATCAAATTAAATTAGGTAATTAACTTGTTAAATCGTGTAGAATATGTAATATGCATATGCAAAAGTAGAGGCCGGGCTTTTTAAATTTTTCGATAGCAGAGACAATGTCACGGTCCAAACCCATCTGCTAAAGTAATTGTTCGCTATACTCAACCTTTGGAAACTCGCGATTTTGTTCTCTTGGGCTTTTTCCTACAAGATGACGGGATACGAGAGACAATATGAAAAGGATGGAGTGTGTTGGTTGTTATAACTTCTTGGCTATCACAAATAGTGGAAAGTGTTGAATGACACATATTTGATCGCGCGGTCATGTAAGAGTCTCATCTAATAATTTCATGTAAGAAAACTTTACTTTTTCAAGATCAATAATCGTATATTGTAATACGATGATATTACTCTCAATCCAAATGCTTCAACCTATAACTTCTCGCCATTTAAGTGGATGAAGTTAAGAGTAACGTCACCTTGTGCCGTCTATTTTCATCTAATTGTAACCAAACTTGGCTTCATATTTAGGTATCAAGGCGTCTAGAATCTAGATTGATATCGAATTAGTACTTCTCACCCTTACTCTTCTTTTTGCCTTTCCTCCAATTATAATCAAAACTTGGTAGCAATTATCACGTTGATCAAATTGTTCATCATAAACTTCGTCTTCTTTGTTGGACTCCATTTACCTGGATTGTATCCAGGATTCTTTCAAATCTGTTCAGCTCGGTTCCGTAAGGGTGAACAATATTCAGGCTAAAAGTGGTGACTGTTTAACTCATTTTGAAGATCACTTACCTATAGCTCATTGAGTTTGCTGAACTATACATTCTTATACAAAAATTTCTCCGTTTGAAGTTGTTTATAGTTTCAATCAGCCTACTCCCTTGATTTATTACCTTCACATACTAATAATATTATTAATCTTGATTTATTACCTTCAATCATGAGAATAAACATTGAATAAGGGCCAAAGACATCAAATTTAAATAAAACAGTGATCATTGGGAAATACTCCTCGTCAAAAATAAATCATCTTATGCTTGGGATTTCAAGGCAACATGTTGTGTTGTTAACTAGGGTCACACATTTCACAACCCTGGGATCCAAAAGGACCCAATCTATGGACCCCTATGATGGGACAAACCAATGTATGTAAATGAAAAGTCAAAGAAAAAGAAAAAGAAAAAGACAAGTGAAAAAGAAACAAAGATAAGAAAGAAAGAGACATAAAAAAAGAGGGGTAAAAAACATGGGCTGCCACAGTATGAAAGAAAGAATTCGGCGTGCAATTTGCAGTGCTGTCTTACCGCATATTCACATTCGCTGAAACTTTTTTCAGCAGACGTTCTGCCTATAAATAGGTATCCCATTCTTCAGTTGTAAACCATCCTCACAACCTTTTCTTTCTCTCTAATTAATAAAGAGTTATTCTTTTTGTAGTCGTGGAGTAGGCAAAGGTTACCAAACCACGTAAATCTTGTTTTGTCTTGTCTTGTCTTGTGCAATTTATTGCTTTTCTCTTTTAATTTTTTTTTTCTTGTATTAGTTTGACACGCTTCCCAACAACTAGTATCAGAGCACATGCATTGTAATTCTGGTAAAAAAGTACGGTATTAGTGCAGGTACTATTCACAAGAATAGTGTCACACTATTGATCATCAATACCAAAGTAAAACCAGAGAATATGGCCAAAGCGGATTGATATTTATTAGATCGCCAAGCTCTTGGTGTGATTCGTTTGACACTAACACAAAATGTAGCGTTTAACATCATTAACAAGAAGACCACTGCAGGCCTGATGAAGGCGTTATCAAATATGTACGAGAAACCATCTGCTTCAAATAAAGTCTATTTGATACGTCGATTGTTCAATTTAAAGATGAACGAAGTCATGGCGTTGATTCATCCGGAAGTACCTAACTCAAATTGGATGATATCAGAGACTTGGTTCTAAGCGAAGATATTCGCTGGAGAAAATCAAGTGATTTCCTAGGATCTGCTTTTAATATCGAAAGCAAGGGAAGAAGCAACCAAAAAGGACAAAGTCATGGTCGTAGCAGATCAAAGTCAAGGAGAAGAGGACAATCCAAAAATCGCAAAGACATTACTTGTTGGAATTGCAATAAAAAGGATCACTACAGTAGCCAATGTAGAGAACCAAAGAAGAAGAAGGATATAAATTCAGCAAATGTAATTGCTGAACAAGTCGGTAATGCACTAATTTGTTATGCAGACAGTCCTACCAAATCTTGGATTTTAGACTCAGATGCATCCTTTCACTCTACTACATGCAAATAATTACTACATAACTATATTGATGAAAATTTCAGAAAGGTTTATCTAGGAGACAGTGAATCTTTGTATATTGTTGGGAAAGGTGAAGTCCATATAAAGACTTCACAAGGCACGCTATGAAAATTGAAAAATGTCCGAATTTGTTCCTGGCCTCAAGAAAAATATGATATTTATGGGTCATATTGACAGCGAAGGATATACAACAGTATTCGGTAACGGATCGTGGGAGATAAACAAAGGATATTTGGTTGTGGCATGAGGCTTTAAGAAGGGAACACTGTATGCAACTGCAATATAGAGAGATACTATAGAAGTAGTTGACCATGAACGTGACACAATATTGTGGCACCGGAGGCTCGGGCATATGAGTAAGAAGGGAATGAAGTTGTTGGCATCCAAAGAAAAGTTACCAAACCTAAAGCATGTTGAATTAGGTTTGTGCGAAGATTGTATTTATGTGAAACAAAAGAGAGTTAGTTTCTCAAAGGTGGGAAGGGCGCCAATGAAAGAGAAGCTGGAACTAGTGCATACGGATGTGTGTAGACCAGCTCCTGTAACTTTCGTGGGAGGCTCACGCTATTATGTCACCTTCATTGATGATTCCACAAGAAAGGTATGGGTTTATTTTATGAAAAATAAATCCTATGTGTTTGTTACATTTAAAAGATGGAAATTGAAGTTGAAAATCAGACAAGCCTAAAGTTAAAATGTTTGAAGTCTGACAATGGAGGAAAGTATGATAGTCAAGAGTTCAAAGCATTGCTCTGAGAATGGGAACAAAATGATCAAGACAGTTCCTGAAACACCGGAACAAAATGGCATTGGTAAGCGGATGAACAGAACCTTAAATGAACGAGCTAGAAGTATGAGAATACATTCTGAGTTGCCGAAGTATTTTTAGGCTGATGTTGTTCACACTGCAGCTTACCTCATAAACAGGGGACCCTTTGTACCGTTGAATTTTGAAATTCCTGGGGAGGTATGGACAAGAAAAGAGGTAACTCTCTCACATCATAAAATCTTTGGTTGTGTTGCTTATGTGCATGTAAACTCCAACGATAAAGAAAAGTTTTATCCTAAGGTCAAAAAATATTTATTTATTGGCTATGATGTTGATAATTTTGATTATTGATTTTGGGATGATTAGAATAGAAAGATCATAAGACACATGAAGATCACATTCAATGCAAATGTGATATACAAAGATAAGCTTGGAGTAGAACCAATCAGCACCAACACACAAACATCCGAGACAATTGAGTTGGAAGAAATCTTAGAAAATGAAGTGGCTAGAGAGATTAAAACTGATTCTAAAATAGAAGATGCAAAATCAGAAGGTGAATCTGGTTTAGAATCAGAACCAGAGATAGAATCAGATGGAGAACCATATCTGGAGTCAGGACTTGAATAAAACTCAGGATCAGTTACTCCTGAACCTATATTAAGGCTAAAAGAGTCACGAATGCTCCAGATAGGTTAACTCACTCTCTCCACCGCTATTAATTTCTAACTAATGCTGGAGAACCAGGGCATTTTGTTGAAGCAATACAGGTGATAAACTCTAACAAGTGAAAGCTAGCCATGAAAGAAGAGATGTATTCTCTTCAAAAGAATAAAATATGGATACTTACAGAGTTACCAAAAGGAAAGAAGGCATTGCAGTAAACCTTGTGTGTAAGTTGAAGAAGAGTTTGTATGGTTTGAAATAAGCTCCCCGACAATGGTTTGAAGAAGAGTTTTTATGGTTTGAAATAAGCTCCCCGACAATGGTACAAGAGATTTGATGGATTCATGCATAATAATGGTTTCACATAATGTGAGATGGACCATTGCTGTTATATCAAAAACTTTGATGAGTCCTATATTATTTTACTGTTATACGTTGATGATATGCTAATTGTAGGATCTAACATAAATGAGATCAACATGGCTAAGCAACAAATGCGGAGGAATTTGAAATGAAAGACTTAGGACCAGCTAAGGAAATGCTTGGGATGAGGATTAGAAGAAACAGGTCTGAAGGAACCTTAAAGTTGTCTCAAGAAACGTACATACAGAAGGTACTAAGCAGGTTCAATATTTATGAGCAAAGACCAGAAGCACTCCATTGGGAAGCCATCTTAATCTGTCAAAGGACCAATCACCTAAGACATATGAAGAAAGAAAGTACATGTCCAAAGTTCTAGATGCTTCAGCAGTAGGAAGTTTGATGTATGATGTGCTTTGCATTAGACCTGACGTAGCCCATGCAGTTGGAGTTGTCAGTAGATACATGTCAGATCCAGAAAAATAGCATTGGGAGGGTGTAAAATGGATATTGCGATATCTCAAAGGCACCTCAGGTATGACACTTTGTTTTAAAATGAGCAATATTATCTTACAAGGTTTTGCCAATGTAAATTTATGTGACGATCTGGATAGTCGAAAAAGTACCACAGGCTACGTGTTTACCTTGAGAGGTACTGCTGTTAGCTGGAGTATATGGCAATATCAGAAGTTGGAAAAGAGATTATTTGACTCAAGAATTTTCTTAAAGAGCTAGGTAAAGAGTAGGACAATTATGAGCTCTTTAGTGATAGCCTTGGCGTAACTGGTAAAGTTGCTGTCATGTGAGCGGAGGT